GGCAAAGGTAGAATCTCCATTGAGAGGTTTTCATCCTATCTAGATGGAGCTGGTTAAAGGAGATGGGGATAAGACTCATACAATTCAATAATGAGTAATTGTTATCATGACTGATTACAATTGTTGCAACTATAAAGACAGAAGTTTTGTAGCAAACAGAGGACAGTGGTTGATCTTGCAGTCCCATAGTGGAGGATCCTGGGACCATCAAGGGAGAAGAGCGAGAGCAGATGTGGGACCCTCCCCAGAGAAGCAGTGATAACACAGCTAGAGACAGAGATGATGATGTAGAGAGATGGGGCGGCCTGGGACTCTAGACTCAGGCAGGGACATGGGCTGTGTACTGTGGCCGGGGGTGGGGATTGGGGGAACAGGCTTGCAGGGTATGCCCTTCGGTTGTTTGAATGGTAGTATATTCCTAAGTGTCTTGGTGTACATCCAAAATTAAAAAAAATAGAGGGACTAGAAGCAAATACTGTTGAATGATGATGCATGAAGGGGATTGTAATACTTGCAATGAAACAAACAATGATAGAATAAGCGTAAAACTGATGTTCTCCCATGTAAACTAACACTCAATACACATTAAAACTTAAAAAGAAAAATCATCTGTTGAAGTAGGAAGCTGTACCATGTACTTGTGTTCTTGTCTGTGATCAACACTAATAAAGAGAGCCTCAAGTCTGTTCTCTGCTTTGGGAAATGTAATCACTTTCTTCTGTTGACTTGTAATAAGGGAGTCAAGAATATACCATTCCTTTATTTCTGTAGAAACCAAAAACTTTTATTAAAAAATCTTGTATATTTTTCTCATATTAGAATTATCTTTCATGATATTCAAATTACTGTTGAAAAGTCATTCAGTATTCACTCAATTGATGCATCTAGCAAGATGACATACTTTGCTAATATTGAAAAGCTGCTCTCTGCAAAGCCAGGTGTCAAAATGGAAATAATGCTGCTTCTTTAAGCTGATTATACCAGGATGGTGTGTGAGACGCTCACAATGCACCAAAAATTATCTATCATCTTTTTGCCAGTCTGGGAAGTTTTCATGAAGCTGTTTATTTCCTGTTTATTCACTAAAGTCCTGTCATCTTCCCTTTTTATTTTATTTCCTTTTCATTTTTCTGTGGGAGGCCAACAACAGAGTATCTTACTCTTGTATCTTGGTGTTGGTAGCTAAAGCATAGAGAAGAACTGTCCTATAAAGTCTCTAAGTTTGGAAAATTCTTTTTGGTTGGATCAACTGTCAAGGCCTGAAGCAGCAGTCATGATATCAAAGGGGACTCCTCAGTTCAGCTTCTCAGAATGATGGTCCCTGCTCAGCTCCTGGGGCTCTTACTGCTCTGGATCCCTGGTGAGGACCTAGGGGAGATGAGAAAGAGAGGGGGTTGGGAGGGACAGCTTTGGGGTCATCACTGGTTCACAGATGGATTCTGTAGGTGTGTTGCATGCACACATTTTATCCTTTAGGAAGGGACATAAAACATTTTAATTCAAAGATAAGAGGAAGAAATGAGACGGTGCCAGGACTTACTTTGTGGTGAAAACAGTAAGAATGTAACAGTCGGTTGGTGGAGGGAAACTGGATAATTTGAGTTATGAAGAATGAAAATTAATGAAAGCAGAAGTTAAAAACATATTGTAGCCATAAAATAATAATAGCAACAGAAAGAATCATGAGAATAACTCAAAAGCAACGAACAACAACAATCTTCCTGGACACACGTATAGCCTAACCATTTACCTCCAGTTTGCACTGATGGACTCAAACTGGAGACCATTTTCTCAGAAACCCGGAATTTAATTATAATGCTAAGTGGATTCTTTTTTGGGTGTGTATGATTTGTGTGATAGTTTACATGGGAGAACATCAGTTTTACACTTATCCTAGCTTATTTTGTTTCCTTGCAATGATTACAATCACCTCCTACATTATCATTCAACAGTATTTACTTTTATTCCCTGTGTTTTCAGGTAGGGTTTTTTGTTTTGTTTTTTATCTACACCAAAACACTCAGGAATATACATTCATTCAAACAACCAAAGGGTCTACCCTGCAAGCCTGACCCCCTGCTGCTTGCACACAGCCCTTCTCCCTCCAGGAGTCTAGAATTTCAGCCTTTCCATCTCTCCATGTCATCCTCTCTGCCTCCATCTCTGGCGTCAGTGCTTCTCTGAATAGGGTCTCAGACTCCACTCCTGCTCTTCTCTCTTGGTGGTCCAGGGTCCCCCCCTCCAGGACTGCATGATCAACCCTTAGTGGATATTTTGAAGAGAATTAAGTTTCAAGACTAAGACACAGAGTTTTATTGTAAAGTATCACATGAAACAAAATATACAAACCGGACTAAATGAAAAGTATAAATAACTTTGTCCAGGCACCAAGTCACAACTGAATCTCTGAGTTGCTTTCTATTTTAATCAAGAAGCTGGGTGGATGGTGGGGGGGTGGGTGGTGCTGTGCTGTGGAGTCGGTTCCAACTCATAGTGACCCTGTATAGCGTTTCCGAGGCTGTAAATAGTTACAGGGACAGAAAGCCTCATCTTTGTCATTGGTGGACAGTGCTCCTGATAATAAACCAACTTTAAATGAAAGCCCATGAGGATGTTAGCAATAGGCACAGACTATTTTGAGACACTGAAATGGGGCCCATTTCTTATCCTCCCACATATGGAGTCTCCTTTAGAACTTTAGATTCATGGCTCAGGGATGTCAATACACATTACCAGGAGACAAAGGATGCTCTCACATTAATTATGAAACTGGAGTCCTTGCAAGATCCTTGTTCTACATGACAAGTAAGACTCAGAAGTTAAAAACAAAACAAACAAACAAAAAAACAACTGAGAGAGACCTCCTTACCTCCTTATATATTTCTTTTGATAAACCAGATTACACCTTCATAAGATTACATTTTTTGGTAAACCATATTGCAATTTTTTTTTTTAACCAAGATTGTCATATTCACCTTCTGAGGCATAAACTTTTCCTTTTTCCTTAATTAGGGCTCTCAGTTCTCTGTCAGTAAGAGGCAGTTTTATCCTCTATATCAAGTTGTTTGATTTGAATACTCTTTTAAAGTATAATTTAGGAAAAGACAGTTTCTTAGATTGGTATGTAACATCCTTAGAAAACGGTTGTTGGTGTTGTTAAACACCATGCAGTTGGTTCTGACCCATAGCAACCCATATTAGAATTCCGAGGAATGGTTCATGAGCTTGAATTTCTGACTTTGCTCTTCAAACAAACTTTGCAGCCCAGTGCATTAACTCACAGTGCAAGAGCAGGACTCCTGTTAGTGAGGTAACCTGGTAATCATACATCTCAGACAAAGTTAATATCAAGTCCAGGCCCAAATTTAAAGACACACTAAGGGGAAATGAACCCTTTGTTTTTCTAGATTACTGGGTGGCTAACAAACAGGACACCCATCTCCACATCATCAGGGTCTCTGATGCATTCTTAGAGTGAAGGTGCCTTGTGCCATGTGTCCTGTCTAGGCTTCAGGCTTCCACAGTCCCCAGTTAGCACTCATGAGAGCAGCCAAGACTTAACCTCTTCTTCCAAACACAGATCTTGTTTATGATGCTTTGCTCACAAGGGACACACACCTTCCCCTTTCCATACTACTGTACTCACCACAGGATTTGCATATTGTTCTCCTGGGAAACCCTTACATTTTAAATTTGAAATAAAAGAAAGTTCTCATCTGCCTTTACTTATCAGGACTCCTCAGTTCAGCTTCTCAGAATGATGGGCCCTGCTCAGCTCCTGGGGCTCTTACTGCTCTGGATCCCTGGT